CTGTCGCCCGGTTCTCCTTCACCCAGTCAATGTTCGCACGAGTCCGCTCCAGCGCCTGCTCTAGCGCCCGCGTCCCCGACCCAAACCCGATGTCCTGGTTGTCTTCCTTGAATTGCTCCAGCTGCCAGGGAGAGATGGGGCTAGAGCAGGCAGGGACAGGGGCCAGCAGCCCCTGGAAGACCACAGCAGCACCCAGCACCACCACAGCAGCCCTCAGCAGCTCTCAGGCAGAACTCCACAGCCCTGAGGAGCACTCCAATAGCCCTTGAGAGCCTCAGCACCACTCCCAGCAGCCCCAAACACCACCCAACATTATCCTGACAGCCCCAGCAGCACCCAGACAGCCTTTGGGAGCACTCCAACAGCCCCCAGCAGACCTCAATAGAGCATCTCAATAGCTCCTGGGAGCACCACCATAGCCCTGACAACCCCCGGCAGCAGACCATGGCAACACTCCAATAGCCCCCAGGAGCACCCAGCACCACCCCAGCAGCCCTCCAGCAATCCAGGAGGAGGACAAAAGCTTCCCAGACCCCTGGGCACATGAGGGGCAAGAGCCCCCTCCCCAGGGACTGCTGGTAAAGGGCAGCCCTGCCGGGGCTGGGGTCCCTGTGCCCAGTCCCACGGATCCTGCTAGGGTCCAGCCTCACCTGCTGCAGCTCAAACTCGGAAGCAAAGCGCTTGGTCACACCCAAAATCAGGTTGGAGAAGGAGAAGGAGCCGCCCCCGTACCTGGGAGAGCAGAAGGGCACTGAGCCAAGGGTCCCGCAGCACCGCAAGGAAGGGACAGGAGAAGGGACAGTGCCACCCCCAAGGGACACAGGCACATGGGGGTTCCCCCAGCCCCCTGCAATGCTCACTGGTTGAACAGCGTCTTCCAGTTGCCACGGATGAAGTCCCAGGCCAGGGGTTGCCCCACCACGTTGCTGGCAATGCTGTTGATGGTGGAGGTGGCATCCTGCTTCCGGATCTTTGTGGGGTCAAGGGTGTACGCCAGGTACCTGGAGGGGCACGATGCGGGGTGAGGGGCTGGCAGGGCAGCAGGGCACAGTGTGGGGTGAGGGGCTGGTGGGGGCACCACCATGGTGCCCACCGGACCCTGCACTCACCGGTTGAGGATCCAGGGGTGGGGGCTGCAGGAGAGGGCTGTGCGGAGCTTGTCAGCCTCAGATACCACAGCTGCCTCTCGGAACCTCTCCCAGAGGAAATTCCAGGCCTTCTCCCCGCCCGTGGCCACCATGTTGCAGTAGATGGTTGAGCGCAGGTTCGGAGGAACCCTGTTGGGGGTAAGAGCTGTCAGTGCTGGGAACCCCAAGCCCAACCTGGACACACACAGTGCTGGGGCTCCCTGGGGACTCACGGGTTCACGCTACTGTTTTTCTGCCAGGCAACCAAGTATTGGATGGCCAGGTCCTGGCAGTCAGTGAGGCCATAGGAGCAGGCGGTGCTGATGGCATTGACCTCATTGTACCTGGGAAGAGAGGGACTGTGAGGGCTGAGGTCAAGCACACAGCACTCACCAGCCAGTGCTGGCCGCAGACAGGGCTGTGCCCTCTCCCCAGTGTGGTCGGGGAGACCCCAGGAGTTCAGCTCAGACCCAGGGCCACAGCACTCACTGGTTCATCAGGCCATCAGGGAGTTTGGTCCAGTTGGCGGTGATGTCCTTGTAGTAGTCGAAGAGAGGAGTCACCTGCTTCTTCATGTATTTCTGGGGGGCAGGAGGAAGGTCAGCACCTAGTGACACCAGCTGCAGACTCCACTCCACTTCAGGGACAGCCCTGGTCCCTCTCCCCCAGCACGAGGGTGGTAGCATGCTCACCGTCATGGCCCCGAAGACCTCGCTGCGGTCAAACATCAGCTGGAAGTACTGGAGGTTGTTGAGCGCTGCCTGCCAGGGCATGTACTCCTTCTCCCATCCCAGGAACCGCGTTGTGCTCAGGGCCAAGGTCACATTGACATACTTGGCCCTGTCAGGGGTGAGAGCAGCGTCATCTTCCCAGCCCCATTGCTACTGCCCACCCCAGGGCACCCAGCCCACCTGGCCCCTTGTGCTGGCAGCACTCAGACCACCCAGCACAACTCACCTGGCCAGGTTAAAGGCATCATCAATGATCTGGGCACGGTTGATCACAGGGAAGACCTGGTAGAGGGCAAAGTCAGCATCTCAGGGTAGCCCTGAGTTGGGTGCAGGGGGTGTGGAGTGAGGGGTGGGGTCCCATGCTGTGGTCCCAGCTGCTCTGCACACCTCGGGATTGATGTCGAGTTGTCTGAGGAGCTGATTCCAGTTCTCCGTGTTGTAGTTGACACGGAAGTACCCGCTGACGTTGAGGTTCTTTTTTTTTTTGGAGGGGTTGATCTTGAACTGGTTGTAGGTGCCTGGGAAGGGTACAGGAGGCTCTGCTGGAGCCACTCCCCCAACAGTCGGGGGGCCCAGGCTCAGTCCCCCAGGGACCCCAACCTGTACTAGGGAAGAGGAAGTGGCTGCAAGACCCCCACCCACAGACAGGACACACTGTACCTGTGACATTCGTCAGCCACTCCCTGCCCCCAGCGCTATTGTTTGTCTTCCAGGTGATGGGAACGATCCAGGTGTAGCTGTGTCAGAGACAGACAGGTGGTGGGACTGTGCCTCATCCCCTGACCCCCCAGTCCCGAGTCCACTGCCACCAGCTCCTGCCCCACTCACTTGAAGATGGACGGTCTGTCCACGTGGGACTTGGGGTCCAGCAGGAAATGGTTCTGGCTGACAGCGCCGGTGGTGGTGTTCACAGTCACCACAGGGAAGCCCATTTGCAGTATCCAGCGGTCCATGATGTCGCTGACGGTCCCAGGCAGCTGGAGGCTGTTGTGCTTCACCGCCTGCAGGGATGGCAGCACCTCTAGTCACCAGGGCCATGGACAAAGGGGGTGTGGGGCTTGGCCAGTGCTGCACCACTCAGACAGCATGTGGGACTACGTCCCACCAGGCAGGCCCACAGAGGCAGGGCTGGGGGAGGAGCGAGAGCACCAGCCCCCTCCTACCTCTTCCAGATGGACCCAGAGGTCTTTGTAGATGGTGTTGTTGTAGGAGAAGGTGTGGAGGTAGGACTGTGGGAGAGCACCAGAAGAGACAGGTGGGCAGGGGCGAGTCCAGGGTATGGGACACCCCCAGAGCACCCAGGGAGGCCCCTACCATGGGATGCCTGCCCGGCACTGGACTTAGTGCCCCCCCCCAGCATCAGCAGTGCCTCACCTGGAGCCCCTCCTTGAAGATGTCCTCGCCAAGGAAGTCTGAGAGCATCCGCAGCACCGAAGCTCCCTGAAGGGATGGCAGG